TCCCAAAACCCCAAAACCCCAAAACCCCATAATGATTCGTTTCAATAATTAACATTGTTCATAGAAATAAATTTTATAATATATATGAATAACATAGATTCGAAGATTAATACTCAGTATTATATTAGATAAATCAATATTAATTATGAAGAATTTAAGAGTCCCTATAATTTTAGCTGTTTTAGCCATTCTTCTTCTTGGCTACACCAGTTCTCTAAATATGAATTCTAATGTTGACAAAACTCTAGAGCTTATTAAGCGTAGACTTGAATTGGCTCAAGCAGAGTAGCTCTAAATGTTCAGAAATCTATAAGACTCTAATTCTGTCAATAATCCTAGCAATGGAGACCTTCCACCAGGTTTGGCAAAAAAGGTAACGGAGGAAGATGCAACAGAGGAATAGGAAGAAGAATTGGAGATTGATGTGATTGAAAATTCCAATAATGGGCAAGATGAGAACAAATCTAAAGATAAAAAGACTAAGAAGACCAAGAAGACAACAACAACCACTACATGTTCCTCGACTACTAGGACGACCACAACATGTAGTAGTACAACGACACCAAATCCAACAACGACAACTTCAACGACTACACCTCAGCCTACAACCACTACTACCACATCTACTACACAAGTGCCCACGACTACAACAACCACAACATCGACAACAACTCCAATTCCAACGACAAGCACCACTACTACAACTACGACAACTACTACAACAACGACTCCTGTTCCCACAACAACAACCACAACAACGACTACATCAACCAGTACACCTCCACCTTCTTCAACAACAACCACAACAACAACCACCACAACCACGACAACAACACCAGCACCAACTACAAGTGCTGGGGAAATCTGAGGAGCAAGATAACTCCTCATAAATAATAATAGGGGAAATGCTCAAAATCATGATTGAGTCTAATATTGGTATTTCTGATTGTAATTTTGGAAAATCGAAACCACTCGAAATACAATAAGGATAGACTGATTGGATAGAAGACTCAAAATTGAGCTTGAACATAACCCTAACTTTTACTATGAGAATTTAGCCATTGAGCTTGACTTTACTAAGATATTATCATTTGGAATAAAATAATTTAAAATATCTTCATCTAACTTTTAAGGAATCCTCTTTCTCACTAATTAAACTTAAGTTATTATACTAAACTTGTATATTAACTAAATAGATTCCTTAACATTATCAAAGAATCATTATCAATTATCTATTCATTAATCTACTTTGATGGGGTTTTGGGGTTTTGGGGTTTTGGGG